CCCCTAGAGCGACTGCCGCTCCCTTCGGGGTGGGCACAATGGCTGAAAAGATGGAAGAGTTATCCATGGAGGGCTCCCAGGAGTTCCCTCTGTTAAGATCTAGTAAAAGAGGATTAGATGAAAGTTTGGAGGCTGGCGATCAGGCCAAAAAGACAAAACAGGGTACACCGTCACCCGTCAAAATTAAGATAGAAGAGCAATTTGGCAAAGTTATGCTTGCTTTTAAAACTTTAACTAGCCAGATCTCTGGTCTAAATAGAGAAAGTAGAGAAACAAAGACAAAACTTCAAGACTCAGCAAAGAAAGTTAAGAAACAAATTGATGATTTAAAGGGAGACCTTTTTCAAGCAATTGCAGAGATTCCAGATTCAATTAATGAAATCAAGGACTTAATCTATGAACAAAATGCTAAAATAGAGGCTCATGAAAAGAAGTTGGAATCCCTTGGGTCTTCTCAAAATAGAACTTATGCAGCTATTGCTGGTAGCACTATTAAAGTGCGGGGCATTAAGAAACCCATGGCTCCTCCGCCCAAAACTTACAAAATCGCAATTTCTTCAACCGATGAAGGTATCAAAGGCATTGATACGAAAAATAAAATTTTGCAGAGTATCAAACCTGCCGATATCGGCTTTAATCCTGTCAGGGTCTTTGTTCGCCATGACGAGAAAGTCATTATAGAGGCCGATAGCATTAACTTGCACAAACTTAATAATCCACAATTAATCGAAGGATTAAAAATCAAAGTAGAGCAGTTAGGTAAATTTTTACCTAGACTAATTATATTTAATGTTCCCGTTGACCTAGAAAAAGAATCGGTCAAAGATGAAATCTTAAAGCAAAACTTTGATACTACCTTAGACCCTCCTAAAATAGAACCAATATTCAAAGTAGGACCCAGAGGAAAACCCTTCACGCATTGGGTTATTGAGTGTAGTCCAGAGGCAAGGAAGATACTATTACAAAGAGGTACCATGTACATCGGCTGGAACTCCTGCAAAATAGACGAACGAATTTCCATAACCAAATGTTACAAGTGTCAAGGCTATGGACACATAACTTCCAAATGCAACAACAAAATTGCATGTGGTTTCTGCGCTAAGGAGCACGATTCTCGTTCCTGCCCAGACAAGGAAGATATCGATAAACATAGGTGCATTTTATGTTTAAATGCTAAAGAGGACGCTAAACACAAGCCAAGAGATAATAAATGTGGCTCCTACAATCGTAAGCTGGAGGCATATATTGCTAACATTGACTTTGGAGATGGAGAGAACTAATATAGATAATTTGAAGATTTGCCAACAAAATTTGCACAATAGTCATGTATAACGTTTGCTCCAGAATGCTTAGCACTTCCAATTTCCAGTCTCCAGAGGACTTACTTCAAGAATTACTGGCATTGGATCACCTCAACCTCTTGGATGCTTTTGTAATTTAAGGCCATCCATCACGAAGTCTCCAGAGGACTTATTTCAAGAATTACTGGCATTGGATCACCTCAACCTCCTGAATGCTTTTGTAACTTAAGGCCATCCATCACGAAGGTTAGAATTAACTTTAATTTTCACAAAGCTGCGTTAGTCTTAAGCTCATAAATCATAGAAAAAATTATATTTAATTGCACGACCTACCAATGGGACAACGGAGGGTTGATAGGTACCTCCGGCCTTCGGGCAAATTGTAAGGAGGGTGCCACACAACCCTCTGCTGTCTTGGAGGAGCGGTCCCCTTTTTCTTACTCTATGTTACGTTATTTGGTTATTTCAATAAAGAAAGAATAAACAGAAAGGCTGAGAAAAAAATATTCACTAGCATAGTGGGGCGCTGCTCATCTCCTTAAGAGATAGCAGTAGGATTGCGGTGGTGGGTCCCCCCTTTCTGTTTTTTTTTTTAAATGAAATAAAAGTTATAACAGCTGTTAACAATTCAAAAATAAACGTGAATGGAACAGCGATCTCCCCGCTGTTACCAACCCAACCAATAACAAATGTTTGTCAAGTACACGAGTCGTCTGAGTGCGCAAGAAAATATAATAATGAAACAAACTACATCATAAATTATAAAAAAATAGATAATGGGAACTCTAACATTTAGATATTTATTTCATCAACTTCATAATTATTTAGTCTCTCAGGATTTAGTTATTGAATTTTATTACAATATTAAAAACATTTGTCATACAAAAATTCATGTTGGATATGACATTCCATTGATTCTCAAAAAAAAATACTTCTGATATATATTATTTTCTAGTATACTTGCGCTTACGAGATCTAGTATGCGACCTATTATTTTTAATTATTTTTATCGTAACAGAAAAAAATCCAAATCATTTTATATATTATAGCCGTGGTAGCGGTTTAAGGGCTTTAACAACTTTAATTGATCGAGTGACAAAGATGTATCGCCTTGAGATTCATTGCTGTAAATTAGGTGAGCAAACAAACAATAACAAATTTACAAATGACCCAATCTGTCATATTAAAAAGTCTAAATTCTAAAATTAGAAATAGATAGAATTAATTGATTTTAACACATTTTTTAGCTGTGATGGCAGCGTAAATGTATCGAAGTACCAGTCATGGCCTATGCATACGAAACCTGGACACTTAAAATGGACATCATAAGGAAATTGTAGGTCGCACAACGTTAAATGGGACGAAATATGCTGGGAATGACCAGAAGAGACCGCAAAAGAATAGAGTGGATACGACAAAAGACACAGGTAATAGATGTCATCCACAATGTCAAATCCTTTAAATGACAATGGGCAGGACACCTGGCAAAAAGAACGGATAACAGATGGACCACAACAATTACAGCACGGTACCCACGAGGAGTTAACTTAGACCTAGAAGAAGACCAAACCTGAGATGGAAGAAGACCAAACCATGATATTAGGAAATTAGCAGGGATAACTTAGGCCCGCAGAGCCAACAATAAACAACAATGGGTCCAACTACAAATAGAGTAGTTTAATGGAGGCTACACCATAGTTGAAAATGATGCTGATGTTGAAGTTACAATTTTGGAGAAATATTCTAGTTTTTAATTAGACCTTAAAAGCTTAGTAGCTCAGGACCCTGGGTTCAAACACCCTCAAAAGGAAAATTCCACTCCTCCAACTCCCAATGTATGACATACCAAGAATGTACAACTTTGAGAAACACCTCACTGTAGTATTGGGCAATAAAAAAATTTGAAAAGAAAAACCTTTCCTGAGCATGCTTCCATAACCAAAAGAGGAACAGGAAGTATTTGAACCGAAAACTAAATACTTTGAACGGGCATCTATCCCAACATCCTTCAGGAAGAGATCTACGCTATCTACAGATGTGTACAACTTATCTTAGATCTGAAACAAGAAATAGGTCATCGGATAGCCAAGCCGCATTAAAGCGATCAACGCACTTACCATCAGTTCGAAGTTGGTCAAAGAATGCCTAGAGAAGCTAAACAAATTTGGCAGATATGCAGAAACTAAAGTCCTCCAACTCTAGAGGGTAATGACCCAAGGGTAATGAAAAAGCAAACGATGAAGCTAGAAAAGGAGCGAACAAAAGTAAAGTAAAGATTTCAGTTAACGTCTCCTTTTTGCTCCCGGGGCTAATCTGGACAGGGCCTACTTTGTTTACGCGGAATCCGAACCGCGGTCCTCGGCCATATCATGGTCAATGGCCTGCCGACTTGGCAAGTGTCTAAATGAACTCTTACTCGAACCGGCGCGGCGTGAATGAGCAGTGTGTGTCAATAGATTTTACACTTTTGCCTTTTTTTGGACAACCGCACGATACAGAGTTTCGAACTGGTCACCCGTCCATCCACTAGTATCGCCTTACGTAGCTTAACTTCGGTGTTCTAATGGGAACCGGTGTTTCGACGTAGCTGGGCCGTTGCCAGGAGCAAACACTCCACTAACTTAACCAGAACCGTTCTGCTTCCCAAGCGGAAACGAACTTAAAGCAGAACCCAAGAACCTGGAAGACTCCATCATGAAGGCATTTAATTTTTTTTGATACAAACCAGTTAGTTATAAAATACACAGAAAAATATTTTTTTCATTTAAAGTATTTCTAACAGTCATATATTTGCTTTTAAGTGTAATTATTGAATCTAATATTAGAAATAATTATTGCGTTACATGTTAAAAAAAGAAAAATAAGCTTGATATTTTAATGGGAAAATTATATGAGTATAGTTTTATAGCCATTATAGTTAGGTTGTTACGGTTCAAAATTTCACCGTAACTTATTTTACTTATTTTGTTTATTTTTAGGAATTAAACTAAAACTTATTTGAATAACTTGAATAATAACGTTTAATTAGCTTACTTCTTAACTGTACATATAATTTCTAATAATATCTTATCTATAAGTCTCATCATCACAACAATTTCTTTGGATGGAGTTGTCTCCGATAACTGTAATATAAAACCTCATTAATATAATATCAATTTGTCTGTTTAAAACTACCTTTCTTTCTACAGTGGTTAGTCATTCTTTATTTAGACTTAAGCTTGTGTTAGGATAATTCTTGGCATATTTCTTCGGAGGATTCTTGAACATAGACTTGATGTGATTATCTTTTGTCTGTTTTCAACGCAACAAGTGGGAATATTGGGTCTGCATATATACATATGGGTTAAGGATTTTATTATGTATTTTTCCTGTGTGGAATCAATTGGTTTTACCTGATTATAGTTGAGTTTTCCCTAAATTACATCTTGTTTATATTACGATTTACAGACTGACGTTTCAATTGTTTGTCAGCTGATTGTGTGACACCGGCGTTGAAGGTTGACAGATCTTTGTAAATTAGGTTTTCGATCTTTTTAAACGGTTTTTTTATATATGATCGGAAAATGTATTAATAATTTTCCGAAGATATTATGTTCGTATAGGGATTATTATAATTTTATTATGATGTAATAAAATGTTTCACTCAATCTGTATGCATTAAATAAAATTTTATGTCAAATTTTATTTTGGGTCTTTTGTTTTACTGGTTGCCTGTGTTATATTTTATGTTGGTATTTCTGACTTGGAATCGAGCATGTTCTGAGGATTTTGCAAATAACTCGCCCTTGTACTTCGAACCGCCGTGGTAAACGCAGCATTTCTGATCCTGACTGACTGATAAAAACTCCATTGAAGTTTTTGGCCTTGCTTTGCCGTTCCGAATTGGGATTGTTTCTTTGGAGTTGTCTGGAATTCTATTGTGGGTCGAGAAGACTGGTTGTGCAGTTTTGGCACTAGTTGTGGGCGATTTTGGCCTGTGTGTGGTTCAGAATTCCAGAGAAGCCTTGTAGAGGGATATATTCGTCAGTTGGTAAGAGACATACGTACACTGTGTAATGTTCTTTTGTACAACTATTTATTTTAGAGGACAGGATTTTACAACACGGACTGTGTGTGATGGTCGTACGAGATGAGTACGAGGACTTTTAAAGAACCCTTTTCCATGGAGTAACGTGTGGCGACGCCATTTTGTTTTGGAACGTCCACATGGTGGAAAGGTATTTTATTATGTCCAAATCAGAACATGTCACTAAAATAGATCATATTTTAGGGTTCTCCTTTCTTTTCCTTGGCTGTACTCCTTTGGAGTTTAAGATGATGTATGTTTAGATTAGGATTTTTTTTATTTGTACTGGATTTGGGGTACTGCGTACTGCAACTAATGCTACTGTGACGTGAATGCCACTGTGACGAGGAATGCCACTGGGATACTGAAGACCAGACACCTGGATTTTCTCATGGACTGACTGGAACGACCACTGGATGACAGATAAGACTTTAATCATCTCTTATTTTATTGCGTTTATGATTGATTGAAATTTATTACATTAAATATACGATCGTATGTGAACTTGGTATACCAGGGGATTTTTACATTTAAATTTCATTTTATTCTTTATAGACATTTAATCATAATCACAAATACGCATCAGGGTTGTTCACAGTTTAGTCACAACAAAATTTTGTGATACTATTCATGATTTAATTTATTTTACGGATAGTTCATATTTACTAGTATATATATATTTCATTATTTCGTATTTAAATATTTGCTACATTTTATGATAGATCTTGGCAATTTGTTTTAACTTTAAATTTAATATTTATTAAACGAATCCAGTACATTTTAGACTTTTCAATCAGTACACTTTTTCCATACACCTCCCTTTTGATATCTCTTGTTCTGTGCATATATATTTTACTTAATTATTTACTGAGCTAGCTGGAACCTATTTGTAACGGAACATGGTGAACCTGAGTTCCCATTATAAACTTTTTCACCCAAGGTGGCGTTATAAGGTATAATTTCAAAACACATGCATATATTTTATTTTGAAAACATTTTCTTCAGGCTTTAAATTTATAATTTATTGTTGAAACAATTGCTTTAAATTACACTGATCTTTTAACTACAGGCTGTGCTACAGGGTTCAGTAATAAACAACGTAATCCTATAAAATTTAGGACACACAAAAAAGTAATCGTTTCTTGGCTTATCCTAATACAATTAAGAATTAAAAGACATTTTCGTCACATTAAACAAGTTCCCTTTCTTTTTTTCTAAGACAAATAAATAAATATAATGTCTGGAAAAATACCCCATTTTATTTGTAATATTTAGAATTAATAATCGTTGTTAGAAAAATTAATTTATGTAGTTGATAAGAAAATCCATAACAAAATTTTGTATTATATACGAATTACAATTATACCATTTAATTTGCATTTTTGAGTTGCTGATATTTAAAAAAATATGTTTAATTAGCCACGTAATTTATTAGCAGTTGAAATTGAAAACTATTTAACAGCTGATTGACAAATTAGATCTATTTTTTATACAGCTCTTAATTAGGCTCAAGTGTTGTCAGACTTTGAAGTGATAATAATTACACATAATAATTACACTAAACAATGTATACATTTTGTTGTTTCATTTTTACATTGTATAAAATTAGTAAAAGATGCTTTAAATTTTACTGAACTGGAATAATAATGGTACCTTTTTTATAATTATATCTAATGGAATTTATAACAATTTAAAAATAGATAATTTTAATGTATTTAATTTGATATACTATAAAATTTAATTCACTTCACAAGTACTGGATAAAAATGACTCATTATTAAAGACAAGGTCAAATGTTTTAGTAATCTAATACCAGTTCGAATTATTTTTTAATTTGTAATATTCAATTAATATTATAAACTCAAATATACACCGGATTGTCTCCAATATAATTATTCTTTAGCTGTTTTATATTAAATGTTGGTTTTCTATTTTTCCTTTTTTTATACTATTTAAGAGTCCTGACAAATAATTAAAAAAAAACATGTCGAGCACAGCCGTACCATCCTTTTCTCAAGGGTATTAGCGCCACTTTTGACCACCAAGTACAAAATTCAAAGTTACTTGAATTTTGTACTCTTATAATATTAATTTTTACCTGTAGTACAACTTACTATTATACTTTATTTTTTAACATAAGGTGTAATATATAAAGAACATAAAATACAAAACACAAAAATTAGTTGACTGTAATACTTTTTTGGATTGTTCGTTATACTTCTCAAAAAACTGAACAGAAAAATCATCAATCAATACATTAATAAAAATGTTGTACAAAATTATTTAATGATAAACATTGTGACGAATTTTACAACAAAAAAATAAATAAAAAAAGCTCAAATGTCAGACTTTATATATTACCACAGACTAAGTCTGCGATATTACAGAGTAATTATTGTTAATATATCGGTACTAAAAATTAAATAAATAAAATAGTTTCTATTGTTTTGGAGTATTATTAACCTAACATCTAAAGCAGCCTATTTATATTATATTTGAAAAATAATTTTAAAATTTTCTCAGTTTACCTTTTATGATAATATGAACGCAAAAATAAAAAAGAGAGCGCATTAGAATCCTATTGTATAATAATATTCTCTTGCCAAAAAATGCACACAGAATATGTTACCGAAAATAATTTAAATAGATATTATTAGATATTTTTATATTTCCCAATATTCAGCATTGAAAATTATGCTGCTATTACACTTTTATTTTACAGTCTTAAAACAAACAGTAATAATAATAATACCAATACATTGCTTTCTTAAATTAATAATAATCAATTAATATAAATGTTTAATAAGATGGTTAAGGTGATGTTAAAATTACTCTGAAGTATGTATAAATTCCTATGTATAAATGTCTTTTCCTTAAATTCAGCACTATTGTGTGGATGTCTAATGTTATTTTATAATTCTTGTAAAGCCTCTGTTTTATCCCAATCCAGTTTTTATTTCAAATTTTATATTGATTTGCAATCCATGATGTGAGATTATAAAATGAAAGTAGTTTCTTTTACTGCAAGGGCTTTATTTATGAAAATTTAAATACAACTTTCATATTCAATTAACTTTTGTTAAACTTTATTATTCAATTCATTTTTAGTTTTTTTTTCACTTTTTTCATTCAGTTAACGTTGAATTCAACAGTGCATTCAAGTGCATGCTCTGGTAAATGCCCTTGTGTTAATAATAATGCTCGTAATAATGCCTTTGTGCCGTGTTTATTTCAGAAAAAAATATTTAGATATTAAGTCATTGCAATAAGAAATTAAAACTATAAAGATACAGGGTGTTCCTTAACGACATGCTAATATTGAAGTGGGTGTTCCTAGACATATTTTAAGAAAAAAAAATTATGTGAATGTATGTCCTAAACACCTTAACTTTTGAGATACAGGGTGGTAAATTTTTATTATTTAAAAAAAGTTTTTTTCATAATAACTCCGATGCTATTACAGATATCTTCATGAAATTTCACGTCTCCTTTTTGCTGCCAGGACTAATCTGGACGGGGCCTACTTTGTTTACGCGGAATCCGAACCGCGGTCCTCGGCCATATCATGGTGAAAAGCCTACCGACTTAGGAAGTGTCTAAATCAACTCTTACTCACGAGATAACCGATCTCATCCGGCCTCGAATCGGCGCGAATGGGCAGTGTGTATCAATAGATTTTACACTTGTCCCTTGAACAACAGCACGATACAGAGTTTCGAACCGGTCATCCGTCCATCCACCAGTATCGCCTTACGTCGCTTAACTTCGGTGTTCTAATGGGAACCGGTGTTTCAACGTAGTTAGCTAGGCCGTTGCTTTCTTTCTATACAAACAATTTATTTCAACCAGTGGCGTCCATACGGATTTGGAATTGGATATTTTTGAGGGAAAAAATGGCTGCCACTGCCACTGAAGTATTTTCAAAATCTTCCAAACATTCATTTCTAAACAATTTTCATCTCATTTTTTTTCGTCGGACGCATAGTTTTTGCTTAAAAAAATAAATAATTATTTATTATCATTTTATCTCAGGGTCAAATCGCTAAAAATCTGATAAGATGATTGTGTGTAGACATCATTTCTGGAATTAAGAGATACAACAAAAAAGTTCTGTAAGCGAAAAAAAATACAATTTTATGCATAGAAGACGTGTATGAAATTCCATAAAGATAATTATAATAACCTCAGATTTATTATGAAGAAAATGTTTACCACCAATGTGCCTCTAAAGTTAAGATGTTTAGCACATACATTCTTATGAAGCTTTTCTCTAAAAATAGGTCTAAGAATCACCCCATAAATATTATGTCATTAAGGAATACCCTGTATAGTTTTAATTTGTAAAGTGCCACTGAGTTACAAAGCAACGGACACCAGTTGTTGCTCACTACTAGCAAATTTTCATTTGGGAAATTTGTGTAAACGTAAAAAGTCACTGAGAAACTGATTCTGTAGTTTTCTCGGGCAAAAATAACTATTTTTATTTTTTAGTGTCTAGTTTTGAATTTGGATTCTATGTGTTTTTATAATTTCGGTAATTAAATATAGGTAATAAATATAAATTGATTTTTTATTACTGAACAAATTATTATTTTACAGGTAAGTTTTCCGTGTTCCACCATGACCGAAAAAGAAAATTATGTAATAAGAGACTGCTAATAATAATTAATTAGAGTAATAAAATTAATTGGTATCCGTGAAAATATAACGCCTAAAAATAACTCTAAAATATTACATTTGAGAAAGATTTAGTTAATTTTAATGCATGTATATGCCATATTACTCTTGGCGTAATTTTATTAACCGCAATGTTTCTAAATAGACAAATTATGTCATCAACTTTTATTAAGAACTGCACTATTAATACTAAAATGCTTAACATTGGAATGTTAGAATTTACAAATAAATTTAGAGAGAACAAGCATATTGTATTACATATAGGTATTAAACTTGATTTTGAAGTATTAATTTCACTTGCGGACTATTTATCATTTCATTAATTTTATAATAAGTGTTCGTTCAAAATTACATCTTACGTCTATAATTGTATAAACTTTAGTGATGCGACGAATAAACTTATACCACAGGATATCTAGCTACGCAACAGAAGCCTCGTTACATGTATAAAATTGTAGGTAGCAAAAGGAGACAGGCTTTGAAAGTCTGTCTCCAAATCAGATATTTTGATGAGGTAGTTTCGCTACTACATAATAGAGGGCAATAAATTTAAAAGAAAACAGTTTTCTACAAACAAAATTTAAAAGAATTTTGTGCAGTGTTGCCATTGTGTAATTCATATCGTAATACTTCCTGATAAAGCCTACCTTCAAATTTGCTACACCATTTAAACATATTAAAATAGATCAGAGCTGTTTTTTTCAGTTTGCCATGTTAGTTGGAATTAAATCTTATGAGCTAAATTACAATCACTTCCTGACGTTTGATTGTATAATTGAATCCTGAATTTTCATC